TTGATGTGTTGGAAAAAAAGCTGTCCCAAACATTGCCTTCAGAATAAAAACCATGCAGATTTATTGAAGGAAAATGTGCTGTAATAGGAGTGAAGGACTTGCACATGATGTAGAGTAATAACATTAAGTGCTATTTCGTAACACATTGTGTTGAGGTTATACTTTAATGAAACAATGACCTCATTTCGCAATGTAGCAATAAGATCATATGATGTTCACCTGCCTTTCTCTGTATGTGCAGCATGTGAAAGGCCTACAGTACCTGCGGTGGCTGACAGGAAGCCTAGAGCAAAAGGTGTTGTGTCTCCCAGCTGAACAGACACATTAACATTGGACACAGAGGAAGTGATCATCACAGGAGCATCCAGGTGAGGGAGGCGCCTGAGGAAAATAATGGTGGGCAAATAATCTAATGGACTACACAACACAATAAAGTTACGGAAAAACAATACAGAATGAGTGATGCAGACACACACACACACACACACACACACACACACACACACACACACACACACACACACACACACACACACACAGAAAAACACATGGATGAGAAACAGAAAATAGCAAAAGGTATTAGAATATTAGCTTCTTTGCAGTGGGAGATTTAAGCAAAGTGGTGAGACAATACAGACTCAATCATCCCAAGAACATATCTGGTTATAATGCCCCCAACCTAAGTCTTAATTTTAACCTTTGAGTTTTGCTTTTGCAACTTGCCTCTTTTTATGTGCTGCTTTCCTGTGGATAAGCTGTTCCCATGGAAACAGATTTAGCCAATGGGAGAATTCCTGGTGACGGTAGTGGATGATGCAAGTGTTGACAGTGAATGACCCTGAGATGTCAATTGATGTAACCTAAATTTACAAAAACATGAGATACAAAAGTCAAAATTATGAGTCATCTATTTAAGAAGCTTTGACCAGACGATGTGACTATCAAGCATCTTCCTTGCCTGCAGGGATGTCTTCAGAGTGTTCACACAAAGGATTCTTTGCCTACTTTGAGAGAGGAGAAGCCCATCTGCCAATTAAAAAAAGACAAGAACATGTTATTCTTATCTTTTTCCTTCATCCAACTCTGTCTGCCTTGCGTCTGGTGCCCAGATGTCCACTGACCCTCCAGAAGGAGCTCCAGGCTGCTCTGGGGAAAGCTCAGCTCAGGAGTGAAGCTTTTAAGAGGAAGCTGCTCATTGTCACGTCCATAGGAGACCTTTAAAGACTTCAGAGTCCAGTTCAGGTGTCTATACAGATGAGAAAAAGTGCCATATAATGTTTAAGTCAATATGCCATTCAACAGGGAATCAAACTGTAGAAACATAAACTGTGGGCAGCTGATGGTAAAACACTGACTCACCTTTTCTGGCTGTGCATGGACAGGGTTACATTTGTATTATCAAATTCCACATTGACCTTGTGGGGAATCAGCCGATGAAACCGTTCCACAGCCTCAGTCTGGATGAACTCAGTGCTTTCATACTCTGAAAGGAAACAGAATTAATACCATCAAATCACAATGTTATCTACTGTATTATGTATGTATTATTATTGAAATTGTTGCAGCTCACTTAACAGGAATATCAGATAAAGAAATGTGTTGAATGTGTTTGCATGGAAATACTTGAGTGAGCTTAAATGTCGTTTCCTCTTTTTTTACCTTGTGATTGTTAGTGTGCATTTATATGGGCAGAACTGCTAATTTTAACCATGTCTGCCTTACTTTTAACAACAACATTTATTTGATTTCTCATTCAGTTGTTCAGTGGCCAAAAGACCTGGAGATATATAGAAAAATACATTTAACACTTGAATTTGTATGTTATGTCAAACTGACTTACTTTCTCTTTCTTTTTAAATAATTGTAAAACTTCTTCTTTATGTAATTAAGGAGGTTAAACTTTATCTATTAATCATTAAGCAAGTAGACATTTCAAGCACCTACAGAGGTCAAGCAGAGCTGTGTGATATGACCTTGTCCTCATTTTCTTGCTGGTTAGCAGTAGAACTAAAAATATCACAGATGATGGTAAATATCCAGGCATTTTAGAATAAAGCAAAAGATTAGATGTAAAGCCAGTGGAAAACAACCATTAATGCTGTCACGGTCATCATTCTGGCTACTTACTGTGAGTATAATTGAACATATGAAATTAGAGAGGATTGTAATTAACATATATTTGTAACTGTAATTAACCAGCTAATGGTCAGACTATGGTTTATATACTGGTTATACAGGCCTATATGCCTCAACTCACACAAATCCAGCCCAGCAACATCTAGATTGCATGTTGAATTGTGCTGCCCAGTAGATGGTCTTGTAGGCTGACAACAACAAAGCATGATATCCCAAACCCTAAATGTGTCTATATGAACATTTCATGAGGGACTGTTACATTATGTCCTGTGTGGTGGTTAAATTATAACTTGTCAACTAAAACATAAGATCAAAGGTGGTATTGTGGGTTACAATTAGCGAAGTAGTCCTTATTGACATTTTGAGATGAACATCCCATGACTGACTGATTATTGCCATCTCTAGTTTGTTACATAACTTTAATAATCATTTTGACATTTCAGAGACTGTACCATGCGCTTGCTCATCAACTGTATCGTGAACACTTTTTGCAGGAGACGGGGGCAGCAGGAGTTGGCTAAGGAACAGTCCTTCATGCAACTCTGCGATGAGTGTCCTCACGCTCAGGGACAGACAACCGGGCTTCATATCTGGTAGGGTCACATCTCCAGACAGCAGCAGGCTCAGGGCCACTTCAGCCAAACATATGTCCTACAGTGGAGAGCAGGTTAGTCACACATGTTCAACCAAAACATTCTATTTCAGTGGCAGCAACAGAACTCACCAACTGACTGCTTTTAAGCACTTTACTGCTTAACTGCCCGACTGAGAAGTCCCACGCCAACCTGCAAAAAATGTTTTTAAAAATGACAGCATGTTCCCTGTTCAGATAATTTTTTCAAATATGTTTAAATCAAATAAATAGTTCAATTAGATCAGTGGTAGACAGAAACAACACACAGAAAAGAGATGTAGTTACCTTTTACTCTGGTGGTCAAGTAACAAGGTGATGCCTGTGATAGTCATGTGCCATAGAGACTCTGACAGTGCTAGGTTCAGTACCATCACATTGATCGAGCTGACATGGAATGACAGCAACTGAGAACACAAGACAGGAAATTAGACGTTGTCTACAAATCAGTATAACAACAGATTGACCTATAGTGAGGCTCCATACTTGTGACAGAAAGCGTAGTGTTGTGGGGCTGACAGAAATCTTCCCTGACTTTTTTCCATGGCTCTTCTTCACCAAAGGTTTCAGTGGTGCTTGCAGGTCAATCCTAACTCTTGTTTCACCAACACATAATGCCAAGTATCTCCTGAAAAACACAATTACACAGATAACTATACTAACTATAACAAACTATAACAAGAATTAAAAGTTCTAGTAAGTGATTACAAAACATCTGTAGCTCTAAGATTTTATTTAAAACAACTTACGGCAAATCCTGGTTGAGAAGTTTACTTGAAATCCATATTCTGTCAATTTCCTGTCATGAAGAGAGTCACTGTTATAGCTCACCAAGTCATAGAAAAGTACCCTTGATATGTTATGGGACCGGCACAAACATGTATCCCTGACATGGGATTGGCTGCACTGCATGAGCTCAGGACATAAATGTCATGTAAACAGTGTGTCTTACCAGAGTATGCTGGGGGTGAAACTGGATACTAACTCCTTGGACAGAAAACAGCCCTACTGATTTGATCTTTAGATCAGCATTCAGTGCAGTCTGGAAGAACCGAACAGCCAGGGTACATATGAGCCACCTACAAACCCAATACAAATGGGACAATCTTAGAACTTGTGCAAACATCTGGTTAATCCTGTAACCAGTGTATGCAGTGTTAGGTTAAAGTATTTTAGTAATCTATGTTGCTTACAGTATTATTGGAAATCGTAGATATACTCAAGAAACTACGCAACCCACATATATCTTACCTGAAAATGACACATAACACAATTCCAAGCAGCAGGATTAGGACGAAGGCTATCAGCAAGAGAGACATTGTGTCCCAAGTTGTTCACACCCAAATCTTGGACATGGGTCTGACTGCTTCTGTGTCAGCTGCTGTCAGAGAGGAAGAGAATCAGCTACTTCAGTTTAACGCACCTTACATTCAGATGCTTCTGGCTGTGTGACTAGCCGGCTGCTTGCAAACAATAACCTGTCCGTCATTGTAACTGTCTGAGGCAACATTTGCACTGCAAATTCATAAACGTTAGTTGTTTTCGTGTGTTTCTCGGCTAGTGGTAACAGCTAGCCTCAGAGTGCTAACATTGCTAATTACCTACAGTGTAGTTAAATACCGAACATGAAATAGCACGTAGCTTAACTTTATCCCCCAACAGCGTCTAAAAACTTCACATATACTTACTCCTTGTTAACTAGCTGCCAGTGTCAAAACTGTGACTCGCTGAGAAGGGTTGGTAGCATTAACCCAATCTAACCACGCATGAAATAGTTAAACATATTTGCCGCCGCGTCATCCAAAAATCAGTAGCAAATCTGTGCTAGCATTGTAGCATGCTAACGCTACAGCTAATTTAGCGTCGTTTTTGGTAAGTGTAGCAAACTGTCGACCGCTTTAGCCTCCAAATAATCGTCAAACTCACTCACCTCAACATATTCAAAGCACTGGGTTTTCGTTGCACCGCATTACGCTGCAGGAAGCAGTTTCAGATGACAGTTAGCTTTCTGCTCAAACAGAGTAAACACTCTGGCTCTGCTCCGGTCCGCGACTCTGCGACTGAAGAGAAAGCCGGAACACCTCCACACATACTGCTTATGCAAACACTGTTTTTTAACTTTGCATTCAAACATAGATGATTATTCAGCAGTTCACGTACAGTCCACACACTTCCATCAAAGGAAATTCTCAATTGTGTAAAACACAGAAGAAAATAAATCAAACTGTCTTACTAAGCTGAAAAGTTTTGTTTTTATTGCGAGCATATGAGTGACATTATGCACTTTTACATAGGACAAGTCTCAGTGTATGATACTCAGGTTTTATAGCATATAATATAAAAGATGGAGGATAACCAGCCAACTGCCCCAGACCTCTAAAAGCTCCAGCTACACTGCATGTAACTGGGTTTTGGTCACTTGATTATCTGCAAATATATAGAGTTTGCAGTTTTTAAGTACAATATCAACAATAAGGGTCATGATCTAGCCCTGTGAAAATTTTTCCAAACACATTTTTTTAATCAAATTACTAACTGGTGAACAAAAATTCTATCTCCAGGTAGAGTTACTCCAGGAATTAGGAGTACTAAGTGGTGCATACACAATGCACAGAAGGTGGTTGTTGCAGGGGCAACAAAGACCCAACAGCAGAATTTTGCCCCTGGCCATTTTGATACCTTCCTTAATTTAAAAAAAAAAAAGTTGCATTAATTTAATGTTTTAGCCCACCTCTCTCCTTTATTGATGGGAATAATATTTATTGGAAAAATATCCACCAAATTGAGCAAGTGCTGTCAGTGTAACAGCAGCTCATGGCATGTTCCAGGGGAAAATAAATCACACACTACCAGCCTATGGATACTTGAGTTAAATTACAAGAGCATTTACTCTACAAGTGCCTTGTGCATCATCTCATCATCATATGAACTGGTGAGGGATGGGTGGTGCACGATGTCCTTCATCTCATGCAGCAGCTTTCTGTCTGTTGTGCTTGGCAAACCACTCATCACTTTTATCTTCGGCCATGGCCTGGGTTTAAAAGCACAAGGAACACAGGTAGAATGAATATACAACACATGTTGCATAGTAAATGTAGAAAGTGAAATGTTGAAGCAACACCAACCTTATCAAGTAAGTCATTTCCTTTGGGATCCACCATGGACAGCTGCCTAAAAGCCTCATCTCCAACAAAGCAAATCTCATGGCCGTCCTAAAACAAACATTGTGTAGTTAACATTTTTACTAAAACTCCCTTCATATGAGGACTGAATATTTTTATGTATTGCACTTACTGGGTCAGCCAAAATAACCACTTCTACTGTGGCTTTTCCGGGAGTGTCCAGGCTGACTAATGGAGTGAGAATTTTCTGATTTTCCTTTTTCATTAAGGCTTCAAGGTCAGGCAGCTGAGGAATGTAAATAATATGTATTATATTAATGATGATAATGTTTCTCCAATATTAACAAACACTAGGATTTATCCATGAAGTAATATTTTACCTGCTCCCGTGGGCATGAAAATGCTATCCTTCCAAATGCTGTTGCATGATCCACTGTTCCACTGATATCATGAAGCTCCAGTTTGCACTGCATATATTACAGATAGGTATAAATGAAATGAGCACATGTACTATAAAATGCATTCTCTAGTCGTCAACACAAAATATGAAATACAAAATACAAACATTACAGTATAACAATCTCTAAAATGTCTTTATCTGTTTTTAGCAAATCCTGAAAGGAAAGGAGGCACTGCCACTTTTTTGTTGAAACTTGGCTCACTTGTGTGTCTGTGAATCCCATCAGCACTGTTTTCTTTTCCTCATTCTTCTCCATCACCTTCATTCCCAAAAGTGTAGTCCAGTAGTGTGTCGATCTCTGGAGGTCTGATACTCCGAGACAAACCTTCTGCACAGGGTCTGGGGACAGATTATCAAAGCTTACTGATCATGTCATCAATAACAGAGGTAAGGACACTATAAAATGCTTAAACCTCTGCAATGACTGGATTAAGAAAATGTGCAGAATGCTAAGAGGTTAGTATTCCGCAGATTTTTCTGTGTCCTGCTTTATGCATGTAGAATATGGCTCTATACATTATTTATCGTATTACTTTTTTTCAATTTATTCCTTGTTTTACTGGAAAGCAATTTGTAACTGTGTTTTGAAAGAAGTGTTCCATAATTAAATGTATTATTATTATCATTATATTCATTTGAAATTCCTATTCAGGAGATGATGATAATAAGCCTTTCTTTAAGAAGAGTAACTGTGATATGAGTTGTTTAAGAAACAGAATAACTATAGTTATTTTATCTAATCAGTTTTCAGTCAAACATATTCTTTGGGACTGCAGATTAAAATTATTTTGATAGTAATAATAATCAGTTATTAATTTACTAATTTACTGAGAAATGACAATCTGTCTGGATAAAATAAAATTGATATTACAATAAATACATTTATCAAGCTATGAAACCGATCAACTCTTTGCATTTGTGAAGCTGTAAGAAACTCATATTTGGTATTTTTACTTGATAAATGTGATAAGATTATTACAGTTATTAATTGTCAAAATTGGACTCCATTCAGCAAAGGACAAACTACAATGGTAGCTCCTCTTCATGCAGAATTAAGAGACAGACAAGGCCTGTGTCACTCACCATTAGGAGGCTGCTCTTTGTCCACCAGGTAGAAGCGATACCCTCCTGGAGCCTGGGTCAGATACAGAGCCTCCCCTACCTCTGTGAGAGGCCATCCCAGACGTTTAGCATTGCTGACAGCTTGGCTTGACTGCAGAGTGAGGCCCTAAAGCCAACACATGGATGATAATATCTTTTTCAAGGGTCCTGTAACAGGTATATGTTGTCTTCCTCTGTGCAGTGTCTAAATGAACTCTCACCCACCAAGAAGTCATTGCCAAGCTGATATTCTCCGACCCCATAATTGTATGTCAGTTCAGCAACAAAATGGTCATCTTCTGGACCAAAGCCAACCATTGTCTTGCTCCATTTTCCATCGTAGGGCCTGTATGTAGACAGGAGGAGTACAGTGGTCAGTATTAGGTTATTAAAAGCTCTGTATAACTCTGTATTATCCAGCTGTGTTAGGACAAAGTCCAGTTAGCTCCAGGCATTTCATATCTACCCATTGCAAGTTGCTTTGCACCCTTCTTCAAATTCTTCATGGCGTAAAACCTAAAATGGATGAGGTTATTTAAAAAAAAAAAAGCATTTAGCATGAGAACACATTTTTAAAACAGTCACAGTCATATGACAGTAGAGGAATTAGCAGCTACATTGTTGTGCAACACAGTGGAAGTTAACCAGTGGCGTTAGTCACTTCTCGTTATTAAAAGAAGCTCAGACAAAGTACCTTCATGCCCAAAACTTCTCGGTAAAACGTGGCTGTTTTGGTCCTGTCACCAACTTTGAAAACAAAATGCAGCGCTCGTCTTAAAGCCATGTTTCGTGTCAGATATTATGATGTCTATGCTATCTGTATTGCAGATCGACTGATACGCGTGCAGCCAGCGATTCAGCTTCCTTGATGATCGATTTTTCTGTCGTCGATTGGTAAAATGTAAATACCAATGGACAAGCAGCAGCAATTAACTAGAAATACAGCTCCTAAATATTATATCACATTTTGAAAATTAAAGTGCCATTCAATATAATTAAGTGAAATATCATTAACGACAAGCACAACAACTTTACACAAAATAAAAAGTAATAAAACTAAGTTCGCCACCCCTAGCCATTTAGGTTAATGGTATCACCCAACGTATCCTTTCGCCTTCTCTCGCGAGGTCACAGTTGGGCGCAACTTTAACTTAAATCATTGAAAAGGGAATACAGTAAACACCAGTTTGATAAGCTCTTTGGGACAATACATACCTAACATTACCTAGGGAACTAGATTAATTTTAGATGCGTAAAATGTAATATCAGCTACTTTACAACATGTGGCGGTAATTAGGGCAGGTTGCGTTTATACACCGTCCTCTTAAACAGGAGAAGAAGAAATGGGCTACACTGAAGTACGTTTCTGATTCGAGAGCAAGGGAACCTTGATTTAAAATACTGAGCGAACCGATTTTCTGTTTTTATGCTTGTGTTTTAACAAAAAGAATAAATGTTTCACAGATGTGAAACTGTGTTTTTAGTTTATCTGGGATAATCTTGCCCAGATTTGCCAAGTCTAAGAATTATGGTTTTTGATCTAGACAATGTCCAATGTAGTATAGAAAAAGTCCCCCTTTCTCGCTTTCGTAAATAAAATTAAGTTTGCACCAGTTTGACAGTGGGTTTCAAATAGCGCTAATGTTCTTTAACTACAATGTCTAACAACCTTTCACAGCAGTAAGACGTGCAAAAAACAGAATAGGTCGCTTCACTTAAGTTCCCCTTACCTTTCCCCTTAATTGGTGACTCGGAAACGAACTTCAGCGTCGTGAGACAGAAATGGCAGCGTATGTGAGGAGCGTGATATGTCTTGTCTCCAGAGAACAACGTGCTTTTCTAACGAGGGGAAACGATGTTGTTGTGGCATCAAAACGGTATGTGCGCGGACTGAGGAGGAAACCTGTCAGAGTGCTGTTTCCCGACGACGAGGCGGGTACAGTGGTGAAGACTGGGCCACAGTCTCTGACGGCAAAGCAACATGTCAAGAGGGAGAAGAAGGAGGCAGGGGTCACATCGTCTGCAGCAGAGCATCTTGAAGAAAGTGGCTCTGTCAAGGCGAGGAGTAATGTGCAGTCGGCTGAAAAACATGCCCACCTCTCTGCTACTAAGGATCGAGTTGATGGACTGCGCTTTGAGAGGGCTTTTCCTGGAGATAAGAGACTGGCGTAAGTGTCACTGCATGAGGTAGCTGTGATTGTCAGAGCTCACAACTGTGGCATGCAAAGGGAAGTCGCTCATTTTCATCTTATATCAGGTCGCAAAGAGGATAAAAGAGCAACAATCAAGTCGCTTGTAAGTCAGCTGTGTAGAAAGCAGTGGAGGGATGTGATGGGCACCTACTGACCCCCACTATACATCCCAGACATCCAGAGACAAACCAGTGCTCTAAAGCTGAAATAATTAAGTTGATCTGTAAATTAGTCGTTAGAGAGAAAATTAACTGGCAGCAATTTAGATAACAGATGAATAGGGGCATTTCTCACTGTTTACTGGCATTTTATTCACTGAACAATCACTCAGTCATTAAATATAATAGCTGTCAGATGTATTGATAATGAAAATAACTGTTCGTTGCAGCCTACAGTTTACCTATGATGGAATCATATGACCTTGCCCAAGGTTTTCTGAGTGTTAATTAGTTGACACACAGAAAAAAATTAAGTAATTTGATAAAACACAACTTAAAAACAAAAGAGCTCAATCCAGGTAATCCAACCTTGGTTAACATGTCATGTAATCAGCCTGTAAAATGTTTTAGGTTAAAATACCCAGCAGTATGTCACATAGTAAAATTAGCTCCACCACAACCTGCTGCAGCATGAAAATACTGCCTATACATTAATGCATCAGTAATAATAATCCAGTCATATAATATATAGGAAACACTGACTCATCCTGACTGGGTACTGAACCTAAGAGCTCAATAGTCTTGAGATACAATAGTCTTGTTTACTCAGGTAGTGCCAGATTTGATTCAAAATTTGCCCCCTTTATAATTATGATAGTTTTTCATGTTCACACTGCATGCAGTCCTTCTCACTAAACTCTCTCTCGCTTCTCGTCTCTACTGCAGGAGGTTAGTGAGCGTTGCTCGTTCTAGGACATTTCGAGAGCACCAGGGTAAAATCCTCCTGGAGGGCAAGCGTTTGATCTGTGATGCCCTGAATGCTGGTGCCAACCCACAGATGGTGTTCTTCAGTACAGTGGATCGGCTCCGAGAGCTACCCCTCGACAAGCTGAAAAGGGCCACGCTAGTCAAAGTCAAGTTTGAGGACATCAAGATCTGGTCTGACCTTGTGGCTCCACAGGGAGTGATCGGTAAGAGTCACATGTTTTGTTTTGGTTCATTCTGAAAGACAGATACTCTGAGTTGTTGCTCACTTTTATCTCTTCCTCTGCAGCCATATTTTCTCGTCCGGACCCGTCACGGTTAAACTTTACAAATACAGATCATTCAGTGCCACTGTCCCTGATATGCGACAACATCCGAGACCCAGGCAACCTTGGGACTATGCTGCGATGTGCAGCTGCTGCTGGATGCCATAACGTCCTGCTCACCAAGGGTAGGTTAGATGATGTTTTCAGTGCACCCCACCCCCAGAAAACGGCTTTTTCTTTTCTTTGCTAGTAATTTTTCACGTTTCTTTATTTTTCCATCAACAGGCTGTGTTGATGCTTGGGAGCCGAAAGTTCTGCGTGCAGCAATGGGCGCCCATTTCCGCCTTCCCATCTATCCCAGCCTGGACTGGGATAAAATCCAGAATCATCTCCCTAAACCTGTGACTGTCCACGTGGCTGACAGCAGCTGTGGCCCTGACAGAAGTAGAGAAACAGAAGATTTGCAAGTTAATATATCCCACAAACCTTCCAAAGCAGGAGACTACGGCTGGGTCAGCACAAGGCGTAGTCACAGTAACGTGCGCTACGAGGACTATGATGCTGACTCTGACTCTGACTCTGAGGATGAGGGACTTTCACTCCCCATAGTGGACACCAAGCTATACTATGAGAGCTGGGCTCAGAGTCCCACTGCTCTTGTGATAGGTGGTGAGACACACGGTCTCAGTCTAGAATCAGTCCAGTTGGCTGAGAAAACCGCTGGTCACAGGCTCTTTATTCCTGTCGTTCCTGATGTGGACAGCTTGAATTCAGCCATGGCAGCCAGTATCCTTTTGTTTGAGGGCAGGAGGCAGCTGTTAAAATTGATGCAAACATCTGGAAGGAAATGGAAATCTAAAGTTGAGGGGCAGTTTTCATGATGTTCCCTCTAAACATCAGTGTGACACCCTCTTTCTCTTGTAATAAAACAATTTAAATCAGGATTTGCAAAGTGTTTTTGAATTCATGTCAAGTGAAGTTATTCCTTGTGAGTTTTTCATGTTTTTTTTTTTTTTTTTTTTTTTTTTTAAAATGACTACAGCTAAATTATTTTCATGATCAAGTAATCTGATGATTCTCTCAATTAATCAGAAAAGCATCAGCCCAAACTAAAGGATTTTCAGTGCACTACCATAGATGACAAAGAAATCTGTAAATTCTGACAAAACCAGAGAATGTGGCATTTTTGATTGAAAAATTACTGAATCAAATAGTTGACTGATTGCCTGATGTCATTTTTTCCTGCCTGTGTTGGCTTGAAAAATGCTCCTGAACTCAGTATCGGAAATGTTAAGGGACTGTGTGAAAGTTATCAGGGTAGGGAGTGGAGGCTAAATCTTTACGCTTCTTTTATTTCTGTTAAGCACACTGAATGACCTCTGTGTATGATGTGCTATACAAATAAACTCGTCTTGCCTTATATTTAATTTAATGAAAAAGCAAAGACTTACCCAGTGTTGTTCCACTCTCCCCTTGACAACAGCTGCAATACCATTCCTCCAATGTCTCCAAAGAATATTAACGGCAAGTAAAACAGAATAGTGAAAAATACAGCCACTCGAATATTGAAAAAAGAACAGGAACAGCTGCTGTTCTAAAGCCTGAATACAGAAAGCTCTTCTCAGACTTGAAATACGTAACAGCTCTACTTAAGGCTTTATTCAAACACGACGGCACATTTACAGAAAGAGCCCCAGAATTTAGAATATAGGGACAGACCATTGCTCAGATTATCACCCATTACTTGCTCGTACGTATTTTTTTTTTTTTTTAATAGGCTGATGTGATGTGAGAAAAATATCCATAAAAACTTTAAATTGTCTGTTTGAAAGTGTTTCCCAATGTGTTAAACAGCTTTTTTTTTTGCATAAGAGATGATAATTGAGAGACATGCCGTTTATAGAGTGATTTCAGAAGGAGCTTTAAGACACAGTTCTCTCTCTTTTTGTGCATGTGGTACCTTGTGCTGCTGCAGCTTTCATGTTAATCTAACAGCATTCAGTTCAGACTTGTGCCACGTTGACAGTGATGCAGCAGTCTTACTGGGTGTGATTAGGATTAATGTCTGAAAGAGGCGAGTAGGACTGTTGTGCTCTGCTTATGGCCAAAAAGCACCTGTTTTACCACACAAAAGCTATCTTTTGATGTAAATTTGAGTTTTTCCTTACACAATAAATCTCACAAAGGAGGCTGAAGAAAGCTATAAATCCCTCTTCCCCTGACTCTCCAAAAAGACACTACCCTCACTTTAATGAAAAGAAAAATCACATAAGCACACCCATTACCCAGTTCCTACAAGCCTTAAATAGATGCATGCACTTATTAGATTCACGCTGGAAAGGACAAGACTCACTGTCAGTCCTTGCAGCAACAATGTCTCTGCAATTATGCAGAACTCACGACACTTGAGTGTGAGGTCAAAAGTCTCCGTTGCACCTGGAGTTTATAAATTAACAAAAATCAATCTGCATACTGTCTCTGACAATAAATGCAACATTTGCATTAAGTTCCTTTGAGACCATGAGTATTACTGAAATACTTGCATTGTGTGTATTTTACATATCCACAAGCTAACTTTATTGGTAGAACTTAACAGGAACAGAGCTTTGTGCTTGCCAGTGAAATTTTAATGGGTGTGAGAAGTCATGACTGAAGTAACAGAATATAGGGATTTATACATTCAACACTTTTTCAAATGCCATTTTGTGCCTTCAGGACTAAACCGGCCTTTTCATCAGAGGACCTTCACAGAAAGTCCTCATAATGACTATGAGATGAGAACCACCATAACGACTGGCTAGAGATGACTTTCACTCACATCATAACACACCACAAGACACAGGAGTTTTAAAACATCAGTCATTGTTCTGTTACAAGCAAGTATAATGTGATCTTTACTGTATGTGCACCTGTCATACTGTTTTTGCTTACGGCTACATCCAACTGAGGTTTACCACATTTGCACTAAGTATACATGTGAATTACAACTGTAAAAATGTATTTTGTTCTCTCTCAACATCATTCAGAAACCAAAAGTAACAAGGATCTTGCAGACAAGACACAAAGAAAGCAAAGAATCAGCTGAATAAGTAGGTCCACTGGGTAATTCTCTGGTTTTCTCTAGAATTCAGAAATGCTATTGTTTGAAAAAAAAAAAAAAAAAAAAAAAAAAAAAAATACAAATACTTTTCTTGAGGCCAAAAAAACCAACAGAATCTCCATATATATTACTGTAGGGACTATAGTCAATGCAAGGCACCACAGGAGAAAGAGAGGACTCCATGAAAAGAGGAACATGTCTAAAAAAATGTTAAAATGTCAGTAAAAAGTGAGACATCTCTCTAACAGTCTGACAAGGTCAGGAGGAGAGGTGAGAGAGATAGTGGGAGGACTGGGAAGGGTGAGGGGCGTAGCAACAGGTCAGGGGTCGATGATGGAGTGAGCCCCAACATAGTATATCCGATTTATATTTGGACGTCCTCTTTAGATGGGCTCTGGTTTGAGCTTTTCAGCCAGGAAGTCGCTGACAAATTGCTCCACTACGGCCGGCGTGATCTCTTCGACGTCGCGGACGTACTTGGCGCGGGCCGACATGTCCAGGATAGTGAGCAGAGGCGCTGCTTCTGGGAGGTTGGTGTAGTCTCGCAGGGAGTCGCTCATGTCATCCTGTGGTGAAAGAGAGAAAAATACAGTAATAAGTGTGATATTACATACAACACTTTGGCTTCAGCAAGGCTACTTCAAAATGAGCAAAACAACTCAAAAATGTTTGACAAGAGGATAGCTCTGCTCTCAAAATGCAACTTTTAACTACAGGTTTCCTTAAATATAAAGTTTCCTGTAATATTATGTTTAGTGTCCCATCATTTGTTCCCAATATGATGCAGGGAACACCCAAAAGGAGCAGAAGAGCAGAAGAATATGAAAGCCAATATCGTTTTTTAGGCTTTTTTACTAATATAAGTGTTGAATTCTCACCCTCTGTGAGCTCTTTTTCTTTTTTGAAAAATCATTCAAAGTTTCCTAAAAATGCAAGGTTGCAGTACTGACAATATGCAGGGATTCAACATTTTCTTTTGCATAATTTCAGTTTCTTATGAATTTGTCAACCAGGCGTATATTGGACAACTCTTAATATGACTTGTTTTCTAAATTAATGGACGCTATGATCTCTTTACGCCTCTAAGTTATTCTAATAAAAACACTCTGAGAAGGAAGAATCTGTGGCCCTGTTCAGACCTGGCATTAACATCTGTCTCAGTTCATCAGATCACAAGTGGACAGCTCCAAATACAGATGTGAACGCACCCAAGAAGCATTAAGGACGCCTATGAGATCTGATCACTCGGGTGAACTGGCCACAACCTGTTGACCCGTGCAGACATAGCTTTATTTAAAAGGGATTGCAAGTCAAAAAAACAAAACAAAACAACAACACTGGGAACCACTGGTTTAGACAGCCCATCATCATCTACAGCGTAGACAAACTAGTGAACTTCAGGTGTGATGTCACCTGAAACTCCCGCAACTGTCACTGAAACGATGCAACATGATTGTGAGCGACGTCGTTCTGTTGGGTGTTTGTATCGGCAACATTTTTCTTCAGAATTTGCTATTGGCAAAGAAAATTAGTACAGCAGCCTTTACTTGAACTATCTCAAGTTTGGATTTACCTCATAAAATTCAGAACTGCCTGGCACAAGCTTTATTAATGCACACTTCTTGAAAGAGAATATGAAACTCTCCTCTCTGCCGTCCTCCTGCAGGCAGCCTGCCTAGAGAGACCAGAGAGTCGGAGCTTAGTCACACATCCTGCTGTGTGGAAAGACAGGAAGGAATCAGGTGGGGGGTCCAACAACATCCCTGCCTTTTTCAAAAGCTCGCTCACGTCAGATATAAGTCTCATCACGGAGCATTTGAATAGCGCATGTGGGCAGGAGAGAAAGAGAAAGAGAAAGAGAGAGAGAGAGAGAGAGAGCGAGAGCAGTGCATGGACTTGTGATGGAATTTGTTAAAAATAGATTGCTGCTGGGTTTACCAGGAATTTAAGTTTTATTTCTTAGCAGTTGTTTTAAAAAGGACTTCACCCATGTTCTGCCTGAGGCTTGATGTCACCTTTCACCCTCTAACAAGTCAGGATTACAACCCCTGTAGCCATAGGTAACAGAAATGAATCACTAGCAGACAGACAGCAACTTCCAAACAAGCTTGAGAGAGCCATTAATTATTGAGAGTGAATAAGAAATCACACTGTTTCGTAACTCTGCTTTACTCCCAGCCAGGAGAGTCTCTGGCTGACAGAGATCCATTATTCTTGTCACACTTTTTCTATAGGTCTAATGGATTTCATGTGTTATATTAAGTAAGATCACACAATTCACGTATTAAATGCATGCAGCTACTACCATCTGAGAAATTCTCTCCTCCTCTTGGCCTGATTTCCCCTCAGCTTAGTTTGCTGGCTCAGAGGGAGACTCACAAAGATTTAAGATCAGTTTCATATGGAAAAGATTATGTTGAGAAAGGCAGAAGTAACAAGAAAGGGCCAGAGGGTGGCACTGCAACAAAGAGCTGGACCTCTCATAGAGGCGGTGACTCTTGATATTAACACAGTCAGTTACTGATTTATGTGCCAGTGTGAGTTTTGTCAAAACAAAGTGAAAGATAGGGCGACTTTGAATGGATTTCCAGCTACATATAAACGCTCAAGCATTTCCTCCTTTCAGGCCTCTTTGTTGCGTCTTTCCTGTTATCAGAAAATCTGCAGCTATTCTTGTTAACTGGATCACACCACACACAATCAGCTCTCAGACTTTTCATTGAATAGCTTGGCTGTGCCGCTACCTAAAAAGGATAAGTATGCCAAGATGAAGTCTGTGACCTCTACTTTGCAAAACTGCTAACAGATGGAACAGATGAGTTGCAGTGTGGTATTTTTATTGTAGGCAGCTAACTTCCTCTGAATGGTGCCCGTTTTATTATGCTGCAAATCACCATACATTGACCACTTAATGCTCGCAGATGTAAGCTGTCACTGAGGACAACGTTGTTACGAGTGAAATACTGCTCGATTCTCCCACTACAAATAAAAGCCCTTCCCTTACATGCTCTCTTGCAGCCATACTGAGCGTAGATTATAGATCATCTGGGCGCGCGGTGTAAAGAAACCACAAAGGGAGAAATTCAACAATCTGTCACCGTGGCCTATCCAGCCTCTCCGATATGAGGAGATGTAATCTCTGCGTCAGCTTTCACCTCAGTAGGAAGTCATGCATCTTCTTTTGTGTGACTTCTCTGCTTGTGTAAACTGCTTCTCGGGAGGTGCTGCCATTCCAGAGCCCCCCCCACCCCACCCCACCCCACACACACATACACACACACACACACACACACACACACACACACTAACACACCACCCCACCCACCCTTCACAGCTCAGAACAAAAAAGACAAAGGGCCTCTCTGCTGTGTAGCCTGCACTCACAGCTGTGATAAGGCCCAGCGTGTGTTCACCGTGTGGAACCTGCTGGGCCATGTCAGGCTTGTTCTGATTATTGATGCACTGTGGCATTTCGCAGACGATGACCATCTGATAAGGCCTGAACTGATGATGATATAACAAACCTCCCCACCAGCCTCTGAGCTGGGGCTGCATCTATCTCACCGACCAGCTCTGATGCCTGTGAATTTTTGGATCTTCTCAACATTAAATTAAGTAAATTAAATTACGTGAGATAAAAAGCCAGTAGATTTAAAGAACTGAAGAACATTTCTTGAGTCAGTGCATTTTTTCTGTTTGAGCAAATATAAGAAATAAGAAACTTTCAATGTGTTTATAATTAAACAATACTAAAAGTCTTCATGCTACGGCTGTGTTTAGCTTTGAGCTAAATGCTAAATGCAGGTATTATGTTTATCTTGTTGGCCATCTTAGTTTAGCATGTGAACATGCTAACATTCGCTAATAAGGACTAAAAGCATCAGTTTTGCAGGTATTTGGTTATCAAAAGTACTGAACAAACTAAAAATTTTGTCCTGGTGATGGCACCAGAGGAAAAGTTAAGGCATCACCAAAATCATCCTGAGTGGCACATGAGTGTCTATTACAAATTTCATGCCAATTCATTTAGTAACATTTCAATAAGACACACAAACCACAAATGTGAATAGGGGCGAAAATAATTTCATTATCGAATAATCTACCAATGACATCACAATGTCCTTCAGCTCAAATTGACATTCATCATCAAATGTCTTGGGAAATGTCTTGTTTTGTACAAAACCCTCAAAATATTAAAATCGCACTTATGTAAGAAGAAAAGCTGAATTTATTCACATTCAGAGAGCCTGGGGCCTCAAAACGCTTGTACATTAATTTTCTTTGAATCAATTATTAAATTAATTGACTAATCGTCTCAGTTCCAAATGTCCATCAATTTCAAAAGTCATTAGGATTCAACTGGAAACTATGAATGTCTGTGAAATGCTTCATTACATTCATGCAATAATTGCTGAGATATTTCAATGTGGGCCAAAGTTTTTAGCAAACGCAGAGAAGAATAGAAGAAGAAGGAAGAAACATTCAATGTGTTTTGACTCATATTTGCTTGAGAGGCAGTCATGGAGTGTTCATGCAACCCCATTGTAATCCAAAGTCAAAGCAATCATACTGTTGACAGATAGAGTGTCACACACACACACACACACACACACACACACACACACACACACACACACACACACACACACATGGGAAAACAAAGCTTTGAAGAGCATAATCACAGTCAACAGTTACTGCTGCTTGCAACAAAATCAGTTAAATTCTTATGTGAGTGGATAATACCAGCAGAGTTCATTTTGCATGCAATAGCCATTACACAGCAGAAATGAAAGAACAAAAGATCTTTCATGCTGCATTTATAAAGCAGTGTGCTACTCTGGGGCGGATGGTTTTTTCAGTAGGGTAAGAAGATCCTGTGTCATTCTGCTCAGCCTGGCCTCCCCATGAGAGACTGCCAACATACTGCTGTCTCATGGACACAGAAAACCCAGCAGCTGGCCTGGCAAGGAGCGTGCGACTACCAGGGTTAACCCGAGCCAAGGTGCAGGAGTCTGGGCCCAGATCCTGAAACGGGAAGTGATATCTGACCGTGAACCCAATCTGGAAATGAAACCTGGTGATTTCATAGCCGGTTGAGCTTGAGCCAGGAAATTATACCTGTGCTACATGGATGTAAAAATAACTGGCTTCGCATGTGTGCCGCAAGGGAAACAAAGCAAACACAGACTGCAGCTATAACACACGAAGCTTCTGAATCCCTGCAAGCTTGGGTGCAAAAATGTTTCTTTGTGTTAGGTCAAATAAATACTGGCACACTGACAATGAACACAAAACAGTATCATGTCAACTCTCGTCTTTCTGAAAACTCAAGCCGTTCTTGTTCTGCGTACGTATGTCAATTACATTTCAAGGCTGACATCAGGGTGCAGTGGCCTTGGACAGACACACAGGGGTCAGACAGTTAGCACATGTGCATGCCCCACGGCCGAAACCTGAGCCTGCCCTTCGAAGTGTGACACGAGACACCAGAGTGTCCACCCAGACTGCCGGGCAGAAAGCGAACTGGGAGGAAGGGGAGCCGCAGGGCTGAGTGCAGGGGAACTGAGGAGAGGTAGCTAATCTTGTAATTATGTCTGCTGCTGCTGCTAACTCCACCAGTTTTGGAAAGGTCAAGACAGAACAACATGAGATAACAAGAGTTATGAAAACTCCATGGTCCGTCCCACACGGGGAAGACGGGGGAGGAGATAAAGCAGGGCATGGAAGGATGAGGCCGTGTGGGAGAGCAGAGAAAAGAAAATCTCCTGGCACGCTCTGGTTCGGCCAATCCTGATAGAGGCTCACAGTTGAATTGTGGGTCATGGATAGCAGTGAGTGTCTCTCTCGCAGGTTCAAGGGGCTCAAAGGAGGGGCCTCTAATACTGTAATTTTGACAGCTGCCAAGGTGTTGGGTGCAGATACAAACCAGGGACTTGCAATATGTGATTACAGCCTGAGTGATGAAAAAAATGCCAGGGCCAATTGGCTGATATACAGATACAGTGGTATTAGGTAGTGGTATAGGTAACATCAAATTGCAATGCAGAAATTTTTAAGATATATTGGAGGTTTTTTGTTGGAAAACAGTGTTTCCATTATATAGTTTGTCCACCAGAGAGAACTAACAGCTGTAGTGTCCCGCTCAAAGGACACTACAGCAAGGTTACAATTCTTTAATAACCAAATTTAAAACATAATCAATATTTTTATACAAAAAAATGTATCACATGACTATGTGTAATCTGAAAGGGGTCGCTTGTACTGGCAAATCCACATGTAACTATCACCCAACACTGCAGTTCCCCTAAGCTCACTGTTCAGCTGTGTGCCCTGCAACCCACTGTACGCTGCACTACACCTTCTCAGTACCAAACGGCAGATAAAGTTAGCGACTAGCTAAAATTCTCAGGAGGTGGGGGAAACCAAAAATGGAGGTAAAAGAAAGAAAATAAATGACTTAACATTTGCCAGAAACAGCTCATTATACAGACTTGAAAAACCTATCACACATAAACCCGTCTGGAAACCGTATCGTGTTTATTCACTGGAAAGCACTAACAACCGTCCCCTGCTGAGTACATATCTTTGTCACATTTCCAAATTTAGGGGTCTGATAAGTCATTTTCATATTGTTGATGGAATCAGTCTCATTGAAATATATGGTCAGACTATGTACTATATGTATACATAGCAACAGCAAAACAAATACACAAGTTGCTGAAAGTCATACCCCAATTTCAGCAAAGCAAGTTCGTTTGTAATGGCTTTTTACTGTGTCTAGAGTGGCCCCGAGTGGCATATCTCACCTCTCCAGCCACAAAGAACAGCAGCGGCGTCTCCTCCTCCTTGGCTTTGTACTTTGCCATGAGCTTCTCTGCTATTGGTTGAATCAGCTCCTTGGCCGGCTCCAACTCTCCCTCCTCCTCAGCATCTGATGGAAGGAGGTAAGAAGAGATACGGAAAGATGTTAAAAGTATGAAAAGAAGCCGCCTGGGAGAGGAAGAATGCACAGATGAGTAAGATGGGAGGCAAGGGAGGAGATATGACTGGTGGTCAGATGAGTGACGCGATAAAAAAAACTGTACAGATGGTCTCCATCTTGTTTTGCAATCTGGTCTGACCTCAAGAGACACCAGGGTGGTCTCAAATTTTGAGGGCCATCAATATGCTCCCTCTTTTCTGACAATGGTGTGCTATTGTACTATATTATAATGTCATCCCAACAGTGTCCTGCATTCATGTCTAAATCATTTCTCAATGCTATTCACAAACCTACTGCATTTTGCTTCTTTGCACCTTCAGTATTAGCATATAAATAGATAGATAAACACTAGAAACATTTCCCAAAGACCTTTGGACCTCTCGACACTGGAAGAATTTTCCACAGAGCCTGACATTCAATATGCTCAACATAAATGCCACTTCATTTAAGCATAAGCAGCTTCAGGCAGAGCCCCATGTGGAGCTGCAGAAGCTGCATCATAAATGCCCGAGTGCTCACCCACAAACAGGACGAGGCAGGGACCCTCGTGGAGCTGCACGGCGTTTGACTCGCTGAGCTCGAGCACGGGCCGAGGGTGCCAGGGAAAGAGCCGGCACTCCGGGTCGTTCAGCACCTCCACGCGGCCCTGTCGCGTGATCATGTGACCCTCTGCGTCCAACAGAATCAGCGTGGGAATACCTACAGAGGGAGAGAAAAAAAAAAAAAAAAAAGGAGGTGAGGATGCTGTGAGAGGAAGACAAAAAGGAGGAGGGGAGGAAGTAGGCCACAGTGTGGGAGGTGGTTTGGGTCATTTCCGTTCATTATGACGCACACTGCTCCCTCTCCCACTGAGATTTTCTTTGTTGTGCGGGTCTTATTGTATGACCAGTTTTTGCCTCTCTGGTGACTTTCATCTCTCCACAGCACTGTCTGCTTTTTGGCTGCCCAATATTCAAGTGGGACTTTTGACCCTTCTCATTGGCCTTCATCATCCTTCTGATTACAGTCTCCGACCCTTATTAACAGCCTTATCAGAAACAGATACCATCCAGGAGCAAATAAGAGTGTATGAGTCAGAGTGTTCCTGTCTGCGCATGTGGACTGAAGTCAACAGAGGTGGGGGCCATCATGAACTGCAGGGTTTTGAATGCGAGAAGGGGGCAGTGTTGACTCGTCCTCCGCGCATTCCTCACATTCTTTGCAGGAGAGGCCGAGAGCCAGCTCTTGCTAACTTCATCCACAGTCCTCTGCACACACACAGAGGGGGGAGTCAGGAGAAAAGAGCGAGGCACAGGGGGAGAGGCGCAGCACTTCTGCAGCAAGCAAGACAGTAAACTTGATAACCGGCCCACATTCCTCAGGCTGCAGGGCAATCTGTGTTGCTGTTCGCCTGCCCAGCACACAGAGCTGTCAGCCATTGTGCCAGTGTTTCAGTGCATGACATAACTAAGCTTGTGGAAAAAAAAAAAAAAAAAAAAAAAAAAACCTACACTCTCTCCCTCAGCTTGAATATCTAAAGCAACATTTATAAGGAGGAGGTGGATGTAAAATACCTTGTATTCCATAGAGTCTGTTGAGTCGTGACCGCCGAGCCTCATCTGAATATGGCACTGCCAACCACGGCATCTCACTGAAGTATTGCTTAAAGGATTCCTCTGATCTAGAGAGGTTGGAGAACACCGAACAGCAACACAACAGATGTTTGTTTGCCGGCCTCAATTAACAATTTAATAAGGAAGCATGATCATGTGTGTCCGTGACAGACAGAGACAGATGTGCGTGTCAATAAATAAGATCCTGTTTATGTTCTGGCACGGTAACTCTCACCTGTCAGCGCTGACAAACACGATCTCAAACTTCTGACCCGACTCTTTAACGATTCGATACGATTCCACCAAGACCCGGGTCAAACTGCGGCACGGCGGACACTGACGGAGAGAGAAAAAGGAAAAGAGAGAATGTAAAAGGAAGTGAATATAAAGCACACAGAGTTACAAATGACGGGTTGCTGCAGCAGCTTCCATTGCTTTGGGTATTTCCCAACTCTCTTCCTCTATTTCGCCAAACACCTTTCCACAAACTAGTAATTCTGTCTTGTTTTGTATCCAGCTTCTTTCAAATACAGCCCACAATCTTACAACACTAATCCTGCTGTAAGCTTGAGAGTGTTAGGAGAGCCCACACTATACCCTGGCAGGGGGGCGGTGGTGTGGCTGCCCTTAACATGACATCAGAGTGCAATGGCAGCGGGAAGGAACGTAGACCAGTCTATCCTCATGCTTGCTTGCTCTCTCTCTCTCTCTCTCGCTCTCTCTCTGCTTCCCTACTGGTGAATACACTGTAAATACAAATACAGACTATTTATACCAGATAAGGCCTGGTTTATGCAATTAATGTTTTTGGGGAATATTTTTTTCCCCCACCAGCTAGAAATTTGCCGTCAGCAACTCTGTCTGGTAAGAATGAGGCTGGAATAACTCTACCTGCTGTGTTATAAGGATGTTACAGTAGATTATATTAATATAATAAATAATAATTTGCTTAAATATTGTCACTTTCTTTTCTGGAAGGTTGCATCACAGTAAAGGGATTGCATTTTCTGAACTGTTCTAAGTTAAATTAATGATAAAAACCACAATTTGGGTACTGATTTGGGTCATCATATCTATATTTCTAATTTTCTCTGCTGTAAAATATCTACAAAAAGCACCAGTAGTCATTTATAACATATTTGAAGATTATCAATGGAAGTATTTGGCGAAACATATTGATTTTACAACGTTAATAAGTAATGCACTGTCCACTTGAGAGGAGCAGAAACAAGCTGTAAATCCTTCCATATAATATCGCCTTATGAAGTTGATATAGTGAACTTGTTAGCAAACACTTGTCTTTTTACACATCCAGCAGATATGGAGCACCATTATCATTCATTTGGAGTCGTGTTTCTGGACACTTTGCAAATTTAAGTCCAATGTTCACTCTCTTTTAGCTCTGTCTTGGTCTCTACCAACTCCTGAGGGAAACATCTTGCCCTTTACCTATTAGATGCTTCACCAGCTAGTCGCTAACTATGTCTGTCTGGGGCTGTAAATATCTTACATGTTATTTTGATTCTTGTTAATAATATCTCATATTCAAGTAAAGCCTCTCACCAATTCTAATTTATTAACTAGATACAGACAAGTTTTCATTACCATTCAAGGTGATTACAGTGGATACAGTATGTCAAAACACATTCATTGATCCAGTCACGCATACTCATCACACCAACACAAAAGGACGGTGGGAGTGAGAGTGTGAAGCACAAAGCCTCAATCGATTCTCTGCTCATTAACTGACTTCTTTCTCGGCTGCTCATAGAAGTAAACACTGTAAATTATGTTGCAACCTCGTTATGATTTACACAGTGTGGTGTCAAAGCTAGCATCATAAAGCCGTCTTTACTGTATGTGGGCTTTTTGTTTGCTGATGATTGTCAGTGAATTAGGTTTCTTGGCTGAAGTTTTATTCTAATGCGTTATTCTAAAAGAAACATTCCCCCTGAAAAAGGAAATGCTCAGTGAAATACAGGTCATGTTTTCCTGCCATATGGGCCATTTCAAGTCCCAAGAACATTATGGGAAACACATAAAACATATAATGTTTTGCGTGTAAGTGGATGCTGAAGCCAGGTGTTGGCATTTAATGTTTATAAAGTTACTTTAATGGCGTACAGATTTACACGAGGGGAAATATGGAGTTTTAAAAAAAAAAAAAACACTGCAACTAAAGTCTTGTAATGGCTTTTGTGACTTGTCCTCTTCAGTTTTGTATGGGTCTGGGGTTTGAGCCAGCCTTCAGGCGTCACCATTCTGAAGAGCTGGTCTCTGAGGCTGCGGCTCTGGCAGCTGCTGTGCTGACTGGCCTCAGCAGCCTGCGTAGCATCTCATCAGGAACAGTCGACAAATGATATAACGCCTTTCATGCATCACTGAGTCATGACCTTCACTGGCTGTTAGCAGGTCTAACACAGAAAGAGACAATGGCGATGATGTCAGTGGGGTGTGGTGACCGATGCCAACTTTAAAAAGGTGGTGGTGAAAGGACTGACGGGGAGATTTAACCACTGTTAATGTAAACACACAAACACAATGGAGTCGCCTCCACCCTCCTGCTCCTCTCTCTTATCTATCTTGACTAACTGCTCTGCCTCTTCCTGCTCTGCTGCTGCTGCCCTTTTTTTCTCTGATGTCACAGTGTTTTGACAGAGATAGGAAGCCTGAGAAGTAAAAAAAATAAAAAATAAAAAATCAGGTTCGTCTTTGTCCTCGTTCTCTGTTCACCGCACTCACCCAGTGTGCTGAGAAGTACACTCCCACGTAGTGTCCCTCCAGAGAGCTGCTGTCTGTTGTCTGCCTGTTGTTCCTAAGCAGAGGCCCTGCCACCACCTCCGCAAACGGCTTTGGCCCCCAGGGGAACTCCAGGCCTGGGAGAGGGTAGGAAAGTGGAGCGGGCAATGAAAGAGGAAAAAAAAAGAAACAAGAAAAAGAAAGATAAGAAAACAAGAGTCTACAGCCATGCTAACAGCTCTGTGTGGCTGTTCTTAGAAACAAAATTACTTTGAGCTAAATGCTAATGTCGGCATGCTAACATTCTCGCAATGGCAATGCTAACATGCTAGCGTTTATCTTTTTTTTTTTTTTTACCAAGTTCATTTTTGTAGTTTAGCATGCTAATATTTAGTGATTAGCACAGAACGCAAAGTACAACTGAAGCTTATGGAAAAGTCATTAGTTTTGCAGGAATGTGGCAATCAATTGGATGTATGTCTTTTCACAACAATCCATCCAATAGCTGTGGAGACATTTAACGCAAAACCTCAAACGTCTACCTCATGGTTCATTAGAGGAAAAATCAGGGGATCACCTAAGTCGGATTTAATGTCTGGGAACCATGACTGACATGAACATTTCTGGACAATCCGTATAATATTTGTTTAGATATTTCAGTCTGGACCCTGGAGTTGTGCCACTAACATGGCTAAAAATCATGTTTCAATTAAGTGGAAAAACCAGAGACTCTCTCTCTCTCTTTCTCTCTCTCTGTCATGGCTGTTTTGATATCAAAAAGTGATGTGCACTTGTCATGAACACATTACTCACAGGCTTTTTATTTTTATTTTATTTTTTATGACATCTGCTTTTGCAGCCACACACCTGATGCGAAATCTGATTTTAATGATGACTGAAAGCCATGCCTCTCAAGCACATGAAGGCTGCCAGAAATACTTCTCTCCCGCTCTCTTTCACACTTTTCTTTTCCCTTTTCAAGGTGTCTTCATTGTTACTGTCAAGCTCTGCAGAGATGCATTTGGTGCAGCTGAATTAAAAAGGGGGTAATCATAAATAAAACCTTGTATGGTTGGTTCCTAATGGCGTCTTTATGTGAGCGCGGTTGTTTAGGGCTTCATTAGGCAGGAGTGACACGTCTGCACTGCGCTGGCGCGGCCTTTTATTGTTGTACTGATTGTAAAAGTGCACTCCATCTTTATGCTGCTGGCTAGTCTGCCGCCACTCAAGTCGGGCCTTTCATCGAGACTGAAAGGCAGAGGGTCCTGAATTGTTCACCCGCCCCTCCCAGTTTTGATGTATGGCAAACTTTTACTGCCCTTTCCCTCTCCTAACCGTAGCTGCTGTAGCTGAATTGATTTGTCACGTTTTCTTTGAGAGAGGTTGTTGGAAAATCTTGGCTAACCAGTGTCCATCTTTGCTACTGAGGCCAGAGATTAATCTCTTCTCTAGCTACATCTAGTTTGGAAGAACAGTTAATGAATCATGGAGATAATACTGCAGGCTAGGACTGGCTTTCATTAGGCAGACAGTGAAATCTGTCACTGTCCTCGTGCAAAATCCATCTGCTCCACTGCTGTGCTGCAATAGTGCCTCTATTCTCCCTCCTCACATGACGAATGGCACTTTTTTTTTTTTTCAAGCTGACCAAACAGAGTGTGAAGAGGCAACATTTTAAAATATTGAGATCTTTTCCGCCACAGAGGACGTCCTCTACAGGGAAGGAATGCAAGCCCACTCTTGTTAATTCTCTGTTTCCACTTCAAAGTGCAGAAATTATAGGGTTTGCAGATGAGGGAGTGAGACATGGACATGCTATAATATTCATGCAGCACCATAATTACGGCAGCATCAACACAAACGAAGGGAGAAAAAAAAAAAATTATTGCAAAATGTTTTGGCCAAATGGTGAGTGATGTGGCACTGGGATATCTCCACAAGGAACCCAGACCAGGCATTTGGTAAACATCATTACAGAGAATCAGTGTGTGTGTTGTGTCTGTGTGTATGCAGGTGTAACCTTAGTTTTGGCACTCATTACATTTTGGTTGACTTTAATTTCTCAAGTTTATCTCACTCATTCATGCTGTGTCACTAAGCTGCACGACACACTTAGGTAAACTAGATATTTTTAGATGGAGACTTTGGATTATTGCAGAGTTAAATTTCACTCCAGCTGTTATTATTCTATTATCAAGCACATCACTGTAACATTAAGTGTCTTTCCATCCACCTGTTTTTATGCACATTTTCTGTTTGCACGTCATGAAACCTGAGTGGAAAAGGCAGAAATTCATAAAAATGACACTTTGCTGAGATGGAAAAGTTAGTGTATCAATAAAAACAGAATGCATCAAAGTGCAATAGAAATGGCAAATAAATCATGATGCAGATGAAGTGGTGTCTGTTTCACTGAAGGGACTAAAAATGTGATCTGTGTGGAGCGATGAGAGAGACTATAAGAACATACATGAGGCAAACATGAATGCCATATTTCCACATCACATTTTCCAAATGGGTTTTGTTTGTTCGAGCTTTGACTTATGCTCTTTTAATTACGTCATCTTGTTGCAACCATTCTCTTCTTCTGTGGTTCAATGACACCTGATGGAGACTTAGCACCACCAACTGCCTATCGCATTACAGAAGTAGACAGAAACACACATTAAGGGACATTTTCTTTTACCAATTACCATTAAACCTGAGTTATTGTTGTTGCTCATGTTGGACATTAAGATTTTGCCTCAGGTCCTACCTGCTGTTGTTTTAAGGTGGACAGGTGTAACAGTCTGATGTGAACTCAGAGTGACTGAATTGTGCTTGTGTTACCATCTCGCTGCTGCCGCTCTTGGTGTTGAAAACTGCAACCTGCACGTAACTGAGGAATGCTACCAACCAAGAATTAAGGGTTATGTGTGTGAGAAATTTATCAATATTGCGCTGTTCTTTGACCCCCAAATGACTTCCTATTACCTCATTAAAAAGTGATATTTTTAGGGTTGAATGGATGGTGGTTAGGATTAAGGTTAAGCATTCGGTAAAGAGGAGGAAGGTCAGACCTTGAGGTCAAGGAAAAAAATAAATCAGTGTGGCTGGCTGTGGATACTTCATCTCACCTTTAGGGTCATCTCTGACCACCAGGAGACCGTTTCGACACACCACCTTCCCCGTAGCTGCATCCACAAACACCAGAGATGGGATACTGGTTACCTTGTACTTGTTCCACAGCTTCATCTGTAAAGAGAAAAGCATGGAGAAGAGAGGTTGAAAAATACTGGACAGAAAAACTTCAAATAACACCTTCATATGTATTTCAATTTCAGAGCTGGAAAAACTGTTTAACCTCTAAAATGATGTCTTCAGTGCAACAGCAGTATGTTCACCTGATATACAACACTATAAACAACACAAATGGCAGCAGAGCACCATTTGTATTTTATAGGTCAACCCCCTCTCTGTCGTTTAAAAGAGACTCAAGAGACGAGAAGGTAGAATAAAAATAGAGGAGTGTAGTCAGCCCTGAGGTGAATTAGCAGAGGGTGAGGAGCACACCGCTGCAGGGCTGATCTAACTTTAAAGAGGCTGAATTGGAGCAAAATCATGCTATCCTTGCTGGGTCATGACTAAGGGTAAAAGCTGAAAAAGAAACACTTTCTCTGCAGTCTGAACCCTTTCTCAAGTGTTGAGCACTATGAATTAACTGGAGATTTTTGGATTTACGATTCATACTTTCACAGGTATTTACGAGCGCCCATTGGCCTTAAATTTAGTCATAATACCTTCTATATGATGAGTTGATATTATTGCAGCCTCATAAAGCCAGAAAAGACGCTTTACAGCCAGAAATCTGCGCATGAACGCTGACGCTATTTATAGAGTTTGGCGACCAGTGTAGTCCTTAACATCAAAGAGCAGATCAGGCATTTCACATATCTGAGACTAACTTTCCATATCAGAGGGAAGAGTCCCAGACTGTGAATAGAAAACAGCCGTGTCTTGTAAAGAGCAGCGATCGGCACTGTGCAATGTTGCTGCTTCAGCAGCTACAGATGAAGAAGAGGAAGAAGAAGAAGGAGGGGATCCCTCACATCAAATCCTGACACCAGCTTAGAAAAGTGAGAAACATTGTCACCCAAAAACCAGAATATCAGTGTATGTTACCTTCTTTTATTGAACCAATATCTTTCAGGTTCAAAATGCTCATTAATGACTTTGCAGGGAATTGTGTAAAAATGTAGCTAACAAGGAGCAGTGGGTTCATCTTTGATAAATAAACACATATTTCGCTCTGCCTTTAAATTTATTTCCCGCTGTACAAAGCCAAACACTTCACTACCTGTATTACAGAATGATTTGCTCCGTCTGGGTGCTGCAGTAGTTACTCTAAGAGGTTTTCTGCCAAATGAAGTCAGCACTGCTTTCCTTCGGGCTCAGTGAAGTAAGCCTGGAGTTCGGTTACCACTGAGCTCCAGGTTGATGAAAACCTTTTGTTGCTCTTTATGTGAAAACAGTGACTTCACTGCAGGATCGCAGAGACTCTGCAAGCCGTCCTCTCTCTTCCTCAGTCTGCACATCGTAGTGTGCGTTTTGCTCATAATCTGTGCCTGCTGCTTTTGCGAGCGCATGACAACATGTGCAACTTGTGCAGAGGTCAACCACAGGCCCTCTCTGACAGCAGAGGTCAGACGGTCTGTCCCATGGACAAGACGACCCGGAGCCTCCAGACTATGTCGGTCTGGAAGTCCCTCAAAAGCAAACTTCAGTGTCTGCCACAGTCAACAGTTTTACCACACGCTCCGGCTCCATGCTGCTCTGGAAACTCAATCTCTCCGCACAAATTGACGGGGTTAGGGGCATTAACTGTGACTCTCCAAAAAGCAAGACGCGTCTGACACTGCAGCCCTGTAAAAATTTTTTTAAAAAACTGCCATTTCACTCGCCTGCCTGCTGTCATCCAGGCTGATGATGTGAGATTGGGAGCCGGATTTAGACGAAGGAGTGTGTGAGAGGGACACAAAAGAAAAAAAAACTGAGTGATAGGCTGATTGGTTCTGCACTAGCACTAAAATGTCAAGAAATAAATTCCATGTCAAGGCCCTGAGGTACCCACACAGAGGTGTGTAGCAGCATATCAATGAGCTAATATGATTGTGAAACCAGACATGGGGTTTAAAATGTGACAAGGCCTCAATAACCTGCAATGTAAACGTGTTCCTTCTCTGAATTCAAGTCCAAGGACAGAGGGTGTTGTGTGCAGCAAAGCTCCCTGAAAATTCATCCTCTGGGAATCATCTGTACAAAATTTCACGGCAATCCACCTAATAGTTGTTGAGATATTTCGGTCTGGACCAAACTGACGTCCTTGGAGCCAAATCTCTCACCATGACAACACAGGTTAATGTACATCATCGTTTCACAGGGATCTTTAATCTAAAAGTAGAGGAAGATGGCTGTGAACCAATCTGAGGCTTTCTAAGTCCTATCATTTCTCACATGCTGCAGCATCAAGAGAGCAGCTGAGAGATTTATGTAGCAACCTCAGAGGCAGAACCAATTCCTCCCTCTTTGTCTTGCCACTAATTTACTGCATCCTTGAATCATGTCTGCCTGGTTATTTGGCTGCAGATCAGAGTAGCCCCCGGATGCAAAATCCTTCGAGGGCTTTGATCTGCCTTTAGAATGAAAAGAGCTGTTATGATTTCAGGGCGGACGAACGACCTTGTAACTACAAAAGCGCCACGTCCTGGTGACTGTCGCAAAACAAACCAGACGTCAAATGGATTTCAGCACCTTGAGAGGTAGAAATTCATCGTGCCTGGGTGGGGTGGAAGAGGAGGGGAACCTCACGCTTGTCACAGCTGAGTGTTGAGTTGTCATTGTCGCCTACTTGTAAATCCAAAATCTTCCTCCGAAACACCGAAGACAATAGCTCTCAACAATGACAGCGCACTCTTCCTCTTCCCTCCTCTGTCCTCCTCCTGAATAGAAAACATGAGGATCACATGCCACAGCGATCCATTTCCCCCAAAACACTGTTACATTGTTGCGAGCCGCAGGCTGTCTATTATAGCTGAGAAAATAAACACAGAATGTGACATGACACCGTGTGTTGTACGAAAAAACACACATAAATCATAGTGTCAAGTCTGTCCTCATTCCTCGTCTGAGAAGCGGCTTCAGCCTTGTAGAAGTGGTGCTAAAAATATTTGTGTCATCTTGTCAGGTTTTATAAGTCTGTAACAGAACCTATCAGATGAAAAATCTTTCTTATGTGCTGCTGTATAATAATACCATTGTTTGACAATTTTAGAAATATGCATTTACTTTCTTGCTGAGAGTTACAGGAGAAGATTGATACCACTCTCATGTGTGTGTGATAAATATAAAGCTACAGCCAAGAGCCTGTTAGCTCAGCTTACAGGGTGAAACAGCCTGGCTCTGTCCAAAGGTAACAAAACCCAGCCGTTAAAAATATGCCTTCCACATTAATCAACAACTTTCTTGATAACTGATTAATTTTTCAAAAATTCCATCTATTTTGTGTGATTCCAGCTTCTCAAGTGTGAGCTGATTTTTTCTACTTTTACTCATTGTAAATATCTTTGGGTTTATCCAGAAAACACAAAACATTTACAGACATCACTTTGGACATTTTCTAGCTAAAAGATGATTCTTTTGCAGAAATACATACGTTATCAGTCCAACAGAAACAGTCTAGCACTGGCTAATTATCATGTGAACTGCTTGCAGATTGTATTCACTGCATCATGATTGCATGTTGCCACTCTGTCTCTGTCTCTGTCTCTGTCTCTCTCTCTCTCTCTCTCTCTCTCTCTCTCTCTAAGGGGGCTTCTATTCATTATCAATATCAACAGAGTGTGTAACTGCATGGTGGAGCAGGACACTTGGCTATTTAGTTACACACCCACACCCACACCCACACATACACACAGGTTTAAGTATGCCAATAACCCCTGTAGACAGCCCACCAACTGTTACGACTCTAGAGAGAGCTGGAAATCCATACTAACAATCCATTTACTCTCCCGGACATGAAGGCATTAGCCTTACGCTACGCCCAGTGTTCATCATGCTAACTGGATCACGCATGGCTACAGATCCATATCCAGAAGGAGAGCAAATCAGCCCACCGTGGGGCGTGTACATCATTGTGCATGGACATACCATGGTTGAAAATCTTATTGCCCCACTGGTCAAAGAAAATACTGAATACTCGTATAGCTAAACTAGTTTGATGGGATCAATGCCTGGATTAATTTACTAATTCTAAACTGTGTGAGAGCAAGAAAAAAAAAAAAAAAAAAAAAAAAAAAGGGAGGGAAACAAGCCCAATCCCAAGATATCCACATTCCCATGTTAGATGTCATGCGTGGCGATCACTTTCATGCCTCTTTGCACTGTTTCACTTTATAGCAACATTCTGCACTTTAAGGGTGGGTTAGGTTAGGTGGAGAACCCCCCCCCCCAACTCTCCGTGGTCTAAAACTTTATAATGCACACACATCTGCTTCAGTTTTGGCTCAGTCCCTTTTGAAACCCCCGTAGCTTTGTCCCACAGTGAAATCCTGCTTCCGTCCGCCAATAACCGATGGCTCTCTACAGTGGCCGTGCTGGTGTGAGTGTCACCCCGTTGAGAGAACTAGAGTGGAAGAAATTTCATCACTCAACATGCCCACTTCACCTATGATTGTTCGAGCCCTATCTCCTCCCAAATCTGCTTTCACTGAACCGGTCAGGCCTGAGGCATCTGCCAGACGCTCCCATTGCTGCTTCATTACAACAGTGCCAGTACAAAGGAAAGTCAAGCCTTTACAACAGAGCACATGAGAGGTATCCCGCTGTGATGCTGATAGCAGCTCAGCCCTTTATCTCTGACTATTATATTATATATGAGAGACAAATGGTTGATAATCTAATTGATGTCTTGAGGGGAAAAGGGGCTAAATTTTCAATGTATTCATTCCACTTCATCCAGATAAGAAACCCACAGATTTCACAATTCATAAGATTTGTGGAATCTAATTTAACTTTCTCAGGAATTCTCAATGGTATTCATCATCGGGCAAAGGATGCTGCCCACATAATCCCTTCATTCATGTCAAGAGGAATTTATTAGCGCAGTTTACGGCACAGATGTGAAAAACAAGTGATGTGTTCTCCATTATTCGGAGAGGTCACGGATGAAATCATGTTACAGTTTGATTTAATTTACT